ATGTAGATATCTATAGATATATATAGATATATGTATATATATATAAACAGGTGAATTGTTAAATGTAAACAATTAACATTTACAGAACTGACAATTAGCTTAAAGATAATTACAGCAACTAAAGACTATAATCCAATCATCTAAAAAGGCTTTCCTATGAATAATAAAATACAATTACAGGTATATTGATAGATTATTGATAGATGTACGAAAGGTCCTTAATACATGTAGCTAAACCTGTAACCTGTATTACTAAGCTTTTACACTATTTAATGAATGGCTATGTACTTGAAGATTTCTATTAGAAGCATAATTTTTATTACACTGATATGACTTACTATTCTAAGCTAATCAAAGATCACAGATTGTTTTAGACATCCCCTGAGTAGTGTTTATTAGTCATACATTATTTGGCAAGGGAAGAAGTATAGCTTTTGTTATGAATATGATCAATAATAAAGTAGAATAAATGAGGGAACTTGCACAACAATGATATACATACTATACATACTATTAATTACTTTTATTTCAGGTCCAAAACACATCTGCATATGCTTTAAAAAAAACTACTAAGGGCTCATTCATACTTTTGCTGCAGTAAAACATATAAAAATCCCTTTTATTACTATATTGCTAGTTCACATCTATGCGCTACAGCTTAGTGCATTTTTTAAAAACAGGCCATTGGCAGGTCCATTTTAATAATTGTTAAATGCACAAAACACAACGGTCATGCATTTCTGTGCATTTTTTAATGTAAAGAAAATCTCCACACCGGATGCTTCTCCTTAACATTGCATAATGCCTGACACAAACAATATAACATAAGCGCACCAATGCATATATAAAGTGAATCTGCAACAAATGCAACAAGATCACAGTGTTTCACAGGTGGCTGAAATAATGCAGAAAGACTCTTTAAAAAAAGATTTCTCTGTCAAGTAATCAAAGTAATCAGCAACCTGTGATCTTTTATTTAAAAGGCAATTTGGAAAATAATAAATGCTACATAAAGAATCCTAGACCTTTTGGCACTGCTGTTTGCCTGGACATTGCACCAAATTATTTAGAGTCACAGTACCCAGATTGAGCAACAGTGTTACTTGACTTTAATGTTTAATTGGAAAACTACTGAATGCACAAGAAAAAAAAGAGATATATCTTTATATATATATATA